TTGGTTCTTGTTTCCATTTGTTAAAACTTTTAAGAGGTTTTGCAGGGTGGGAAAGGCAAGGGTGCTTCTCAACTCAAGCTAATTTATGTCATTTCTAGTTAGAAAGTTGTCAAATGCAATGGATCTGCCCAAAAGTGTGACTAAGTTTATCAGGAGAGAAGCTTCCAGTTCCCCAATTAGAGATGAAACCTGCAGCAGGCAGCCGGGTGGGGCACAGACGCCCTGGGCCCGGGGTGGAGCTCGCCCTCCAGGGCGAGGCCCGAGGGTCTGGCAGGTGCTCAGCTCCCACCGCTCTCGGCCACGATGTGGGGATATTTCAGGAGAGCTTCGAGGGACTGATCTCTGTGTGCCTGGCTGGGAAAGTGCAGTTACTGCCTGTTCAATCCCAAGCAGAACCTCTTCTCCGGGGAAAGCGTCATAAAGAATGCGGTGGTCGGTCTGGAAAGGACATCACATTCCCGTTTCACACCTGCTGCAGGTCTCGGGTGTCAGCACTCTCTGTGCATCTCCATCTGGAAGGCATCGCAGCCTCGACGGAGACAAAGCCCAGCCATCCCACGATGCCTTGGAACAGCACGCGTGGAGAATGCGTGTTCCGGCCCTGCCCCCGTTCAGTGAGTATGTCACGTAGCAGGGGCTAAGTACGGCCCACGTGCTTCCTGGGTGTCTTCAAGGCGGTCCACCGTCTCTGGCATTTGGTGATCCAACACTGACCTGACACTCTGTTGTGTTTTACGATGGGCCAGTGCGTTGTATCCACGGGTAGAAAAAGCCGGGAAGGCGGCTCCAGGTAGGCCACGTGCTGCTGTGCCACTGTGTACAAGTCATTTAACCTCTCTGAGCCTCAGTCTCGTCCTCTGTAAAATGGGGCCAATACAAGTCTTCCCAAAACTGGATCATAAATGGTGATAAAATAGGTAACTATTGCTTACTGAGCACTTACTACGTACAGTATTTGGTCCAAGCACTTTATGTGTAAAATGCACCTAATATTCACAACAATACTAAGGGACAGATACTGATTTTACAGTGAAGAATCCGAGACGTGCTGGGAGCCCTCCCTGTTAATAATCATAATGTCATTGTTACTGTTAGAAGCCCCAACATCTAACGATAAAAGCAAGTAAAACAGAATTTCTTTCCTTTAAAACAATTATAAAAGCAAGATTTATACAGGAAAAAAAAACTGAGCCACAGTGAGATAAATCATTCTCTAGATTTACACTTGATGTCTTCCCTAAGCCTCTTTTCTCCAAAATAATAGGTCGTCATGAAACCCATCTGCCACGAATGAGCATTCTGGCCTGAATAGCTCTATGAAGATGTTATTAGAAACTGAAAGTATTTGCTAGTCCCGGAGAGAGCAGACAAAGTGGTCCGGGGGGAGAGTACAAACAAAGAATACCCCCAAAGTTAAAAGATGAGTTTCCAGATTCAAAGGGGCCAGCACGGCGAACAAGGGAAGACTCATGCCAAGTCACATCGTCGATGAAACTTAGAAACGTCAGAACGAAGAGAAGATCCTAAAACCTTCCCCCAAAGGACAGGCAAGCCAATGCTGCTTGCGAACAGTCAGGTGTCAAATAGCATTGAACTCCCTACAACACAGGAAACTGCACAACGGTGGAGGAAAGTCTTCAAAGGTTTCAGGCAAAATTATCTCCTGCCTAAAACATTACACCCAGACAAACTATCAGTTATTTCTTATATTTTATGGTATTCAGAGGCTCAAAACTTTTACCTCCTGCGTAAACTCTTTCTTGGGAAACTACAAGTGAATCTGCTTCACAAGAAAAAAAAAAAAGAGGAAGTAAATGAAGAAAGAGGGAGATCTGAGATACAGGAAACAGAGGATTTAGGAGACTACAGAAAATTCCCAGGAGGTAGTGAAAGAACGTTCTGGAATGACAGCTGTGCGGCAGCACTGGACGGCAAGCCCGTATTTGAGCAAGAAGATCAAAAGCCTCGGGAGAGAATTCTCCAGGGATTGGAGGGAGCGGGAACTGATTGATTTGCTGTGTTTGGCTTTCGGGAAAGTTGTTTTTTAGTTGTTTGACAGGTATGTTACGGCATTTGGAAAAAAAATATATAGTGATAGATACACAGAAACTAAACCAATGAAATATAAATGAGGCAATTATCAATTAGAGGAAGAAGAAAAAAACTGTACAAAAAAAAAGGAAAAAAGGAAACAATCAAAGTACCCCACCTGCATGAGCAGCAGAAAAGGTTTACGTAGTCCTATTGATGTCAACAGTGACCACGCATTTAGCCACAGGCTGCAGTTTCACTCTATGGGGAAGGCGGGAGGTGGCAGGGGCGGGGGGAGACTGTAACAGTAGCCTCACCTACAAATCTCAGGGTGACACTGTCTAGAGTTCACAGACCAAGGAGCTGTATTCTAAGTATGTTACTTACAACGCAGAGCAGCAGGGGAAAGAACTGAACTTGGCTCCCCTGGGGTCTCAGTTTGGGAGTTGAAGAGGGACAGTGAGGGGGACTGTTTTCAACAACAAGACTTCCAGGGTGGTTTTTTTTTTAATGGTGATGTAATTGACATATAATATTATATTAGTCCCTGGGTTTTTTGAACTTCGAGGCTTTTTAATTTCAAAATATGTAAATATGCTCATGTACTACCTTTTTTACTACCAGTGAAAAATAAATATAGATAAGACAGTGCACTTAAAAAGGGCTCATAGTGAGCAGGCAACTTCATCAGAGATGTTAGTAACTTTAAGAAGCTGCTTTTACAAACTAAATGTCCACTGAGAAATAACTGGATAAAATAAAGGTGTGGTATATATAAACAATAGAATGCTACTCAGCTATAAAAAAGAATTAAATAATGCTATTTGCAGCAACATGGTTGGATCTGGAGATTATCATACTGAGTGAAGTAGTCAGACAGAAAGAAAAATATCATATGAGATCACTTATATGTGGAATCTAAAAAAATGATACAAATGAACTTATTTACAAAATAGAAACAGACTCATAGACATAGAAAACAACCTTATGGTTACCAGAAGGGAATGGGGTGAAGGAATAAATTAGGAGTTTGGGATTAACAGACACACACTACTATATATATAAAATAGATAAACAACAGGGTCCTACTGGGACCTATATTCGACAGCTTGTAATAGCTTATAATGAAAAAGAATCTGTATATGTATAACTGAATCACTGTGTTGTACACCAGAAACTGACAACATTTAAACCCACTATACCTTAATAAAAAATAAATTTAAAAAAATCCACTTTTAGAAACATATTAGGTGATCCCGATTTGATGATTAAAGATCACAGTTTTGCTCTTTAAAAAAAAATCTGAATTTAGGAAGTTAATTCAAATGGCCCAAACTGATGGAAAAGGAGCAGAAAAATTATGGATGAGGGACAGTCAATAAGAGGAAGAGCATAAAGAGGAGAAAGTAAAAGAAGACCAAGCAGTTAGAAAAAAGAACTTGAAAAAGAAGTAAACCTTGCAGGCCGGGAACTGTGCAAAGGCTCCCATGTTCACCAGGAACTGGGAAAGGAGAGACTCCCGGACACCTGTGCTGGGCATCCACACACGGACGATGCTCAGAAAGGAAGTAGCTGGAAGGCAAAGATTTAATGCAGGCAAACAAGCATTTTTAAAATTCCTGGTAACTGATTTGAAACTAGTTAATAAAAAGGTTTACTTTTTTTTCCCTTTTGAGCCTTAGAAAGGAGACCCATGAAAGCATATACCTAAGAGAGAGGAAAAAAACTAATAGCTTTTGAGAGGGAAAAGGGACATTTCCAAAGAGGCTGAAAGCTCTTGTGTGTGTGTGTGTGTGTGTGTGTGTGTGTGTGTGTGTGTGTAATGGACTCCCAGGCTGGAGAGAGGGCACTCTCTCTTTGGGGG